TATTACATTTTAAATAGGGTAACTTGTAATCTGTAACCTATTACATTTCCAAAGTAACCTTCCCAACACTGCATATACTACATGCAATGGTGGATCTGCTACACATATTATGAAGTGGGGTTACATAAATAAGTAGCGGGTAAGACAACACAAAAATAGTTGAATCAAGATTTGTAATCTATTGTTGTGTGGCTTTATTTAATAACTCCACATGCTAATCTTTCATGTGCATTAGCTAATGCATCAGACAGCTTTACAATAGAATGAAAATCATAAATCAGCTTCAATGTTAAATGTACAGTGATTAAATCATAAAAACAGAGGAGTTAACCACTCTAACAAGGAAAGAGGGGTGGGGCTGTATGCAGACTTGCCAAATGGGCGGGCATTAGTCGCTCTGTTGCTGCAGTGACTAAAAATACATCTACGAGGCTCATGTTGGGGGTGTAAGGCTGTCAAACTTCGCTACACATTTCTCTAAACAGACAACAGTCCAATGCGTATATTCACATTAGTTCATGGAGAAAGTTTTAGACACCCAACATGTTTTTAGAATAGCAGAATAAGGCGCCGTTCACTCATGCTTTTTTTGCATTACAAATGTGTGACATAGGAAGTGGAATGGAAGATCTTTTAACTTAAGCGCCATGCCATGCATGAGTTGCTGCACAAGATCACTCACAGCACAGTGGTCAAAGATGTCCATCTAGCACGTTTTGATAGAAATACATCAGAAAATCAGCGCAGTGGAATGTAAAAATGCAAGTTCTGCGTGAACAACCCCCAACAATGAAATATAAACATAAGACATTTTAATAGCTTTCAAAGACCCCTGCACTAGTCCTTAGAGCTGTCATGCCAGCCAAAGTCCATGAAGCAGAAGTAATTTTGGTATTAATATTTAATGTCACCAAGAGAATGTGGGAGGAGACTAATTTTAAGGGCACAGAAACAGGTCATTCATCCCTACGCTATATCAGATCATAGACAGTACTTTAACAAATATGAGTTTGAGGGATCTTTCAAAACTGGATGGATAGTAGAAGAACTCTGGAATCAATGAACGTGTTTGAATTATAAGAAAAAGAAAAAATTATTGTGCTGATGTGGACTATATTCAAGCCTTGAAGGCACTACATGGTCATTTAGGGAGAAGCAGCATTTCATTGATTTTGTGGAAGTTCTACCTGTATGCAGCCACTTCCAGTGCAAGGCCCATCTTGACCTGTAAGAGATCCTGATGGTCCTTCAGCTTCTCTGAGATGGTGTTAGACAGCATTCTGCGCTCATACTCCAGTTCTTCAATGATAGCCTGCAGGACAAGAAGTTAGTTAGACTATTTTCTCTTTTACCCACACACAGTTCAATTGAAGATAAAAGACTAGTGTTTCTTCTAAAGGAATCTCATAAGTGATTAGAAAGCCACTGGTAAATTTAAGTTTAATTGATCTTTCAAACTCAGTTATGCCTTTTCAATAATGCACTGAGTAGTATACCATTTAAACTATGAAACCTATTTTTATCCCATCACTATCTTTCAGAAGGGTGTCCACTTGCATCGTATTGATCCAAAGTATATATTTGGGGGCTACTCTTTGTGTAATGCACCTGTTTGAAAGCTCTTCCAACATCACCCCCTTATGAAACCTTATTATTTATATAAAGAGACAGGTGTTTTTAATGACCGAAGGGTTATCTGCTTTAAAGCTAATTCACAAATCAAATACACAATATGCTAAATTCCTTTATATTCTCCTTTCACTCCAATGGCTCCACACCCTCCATAACATACTTGTGATCTCAAGGGGTGGCATAAATATCATCACCTCTTTTAAATATTAGCTACGTTTGCTCTGCGTTTTCGTATTACATAGCAATTAAATCTTTTGACTTGAATAATTGTATCAGTAAATGTTCATCTGTTATTGTTTTGGAGTCCAAATATTTGGCACTCAATAGCCTAGTTGCAGTAATATGTTAAGACTGACATCCTCCATGCAGCCCATTCAATTTAGCCCACAGTGGCACAACACTTTACTGATGCTTGCACTTTGCTTCAGCAACTGCTCATTTGTCACTCTCCCTGGAGAGAGGCGATCATGAGATAAACCACTAATGCTCAATTTTTCCAAAGCACATTGAGCTAGAGATGATAAACATGGATATTGGCAGTGCGGATGTGCTCCTCGCGTAAGATCCTAAGGGGCCCATTGAAAGAACAGGTGTTGGGATAATGTTAATTTAATTTGATGACTGCTTGGTTTCCACTATATGTGAGTTTTGTAATCTTTTATTTTACTCTTGGAAGAATTGTGTGGTGTGATGCGATATATCCTCAAAGTCCCCTTGGCAAAGACTGTTTTCTCGATTCTGACCTATCATATCACATATAAAAAAAGAGAAAAAAAGAAACTAACAACAAATGCTCAGTGTCAGTAAGTCAGAAAGATTAACCTTAAGACATGTTACTTTTTATATATAACAACAGTTTTACAATATTATATTTTCATCATATTTATGAAAATGTGTTCGAAAAATATGTTAAATCTATATTTTAAAAAATGTATCATTTTCATTTTTTACCTCTAAGGTGGGCCAGTTTACCAGTTTATGGGACATTTTATGTTTAATTTCATCTATGTATCTAATAGGTATCAACAAAAACATGGGATTTGTGCCATTAATGTTTTTTTTTTAAGTGCCATGCCTTGCTGCTGTCACTAGTACTGAGCACAGTGTGGCGCTCTTTTTGGAGGAGCATTCTACATCCTTACGCAATCACTGTTTTCACCAAAAAGGATGCCAGGAAATCTGTGGCAATGTGGTTTTTAGCTTTTTATTAATAGAGGACCTTGTGTTTGGCTTTGATACCCACCTGATACTTGCAGATTTCAGCTCTGAAATTTTCTTGCATGTTCATGAGCTGCTCCTCAAGGTTCAACTGCACGTTGGTTTGTTTCTCAATCTCGTCACGCAGCCTCTTGAACTGTGATGCATATTCCCTCTTTTCCCTCTGAATGTCGTCCAGCCTCGCTTGGTCTGCTTTTATAGACTCTTCGATTTTCTCTACCTTCAGGCGGTACATGTCCAAAGTCCCCTGCCAGCTTTCAGTGAAGTTGGCCGCATACTCCTGCACCTCTTCCATCGTAACTGCTGGAGGTGCGTGATACGTTTGAGTCACGACGCGTACAGTTCGGGAGTGCACCTGGTCCCTCAGGTGGGCGATTTCCTTTCTATGGGCATCTTCCAAAAACTTATATTCGTTTTCAAGCTCAATGAGGTGATCTTCCAAAGCACTGTTGGTCTTAAAAGCATTATGGAGGTGCCTCTCGCAGCCTTTCAGCTCTGTGTCGACGCCTTTGCTCACCGAAGCCTCCTCTGAACGCATCGCTTGAAGAATCTGAAGTTCATTGCGCAGCTTCTGTCGCTCCATCTCTGCTCTGCATTTCTCGAAAGATAAACGCTCCACCAGTCTCCTCATTTCCCGTAGCTCGGACATGTGTTTGTTTTCCCATTCTCCAGACCTGTTTTTTCGGATTGAATTAATTTCGCTTATCAAGCTGGTATTTTCTTGTTCCAACTGTTTTGCGCTCATTTGTTTTTTCGGATTGAATTAATTTCGCTTATCAAGCTGGTATTTTCTTGTTCCAACTGTTTTGCGCGCATTAGGTACTGGCTGAGTCTTTGGTTGAGCTCCTGCAGTTGGAGCTTCTCGCTCTCAAACGGTTCCCTCATTCGAAACATTTTCCTTTGTAATTGTGTGAATCGAATAGCTTTGGTTTACGCGTAAATGTGCTAAGTTTATCAGTTATTTCGTTGGCATCAGTGTTCTGCGTCGGTGAGAAGCGCAGGGCGGAGGCAGAGTCGAACAAGTGCGGAGGATTTGAGCTGATCCCATGTCCCGTTAGCGAGTCCTACTATGGTGACGGTTGAGCTTATGAATATTAATTACGCAACGCGACGTTCGCCCGATAGGGCTATGTGATTTGCTGAAACAAATATGCGCGAGGCAGTTGAATATTAATTAGGTTATGTGACTGGACGCCCCGGGAAGTTTGCTTAACAACGTCAGCTCGCTGTAATTAATATTCATGAATCAGACCTTAGCCATAGTTGGTTGTACAAACTCCGTCCCGTCTAGTGAGATGTTTGAAGGAGTGCGTCTTTAGCTCTATGATAGGATATGAGATGGCTCTCCCATGTGGAGAAAAATGGACAATGCACTCCCTCAGTTGCACCAAGTGTCACTTTCGGTAATAGCCATATACAGGACATTTAAAATATATAATATTACAGTTGTATGAATTGCGTTACTTTCATCTTCAGTTATAAAAAGGTGGTAAACCGTTGAGTTTAAATATAATACAGCCTCATCTCGATGGACACTTCTCGCGAAATTGTAGTTGTAACAGGTAGGTGGATTACTCTGGGTTGGTTCGTCGAGCGAAAGTTGCGTTGCAGTTGCAATAGTTTCGCTGTGCAACCTGTGCAGTTTATATAAACAAAGCGTCGCCTTAATCGTATGTTATTTTATGTCACACCACACGTGGATATTTTATTTATGTTTTATTAGGTTTTGGTCCTTTCCGACAATATGTTGTGAATCCAAGTTGGGAGGCAGCTAAGGTAGGCCTACATCAAAGCCATTTTTGATAAGCAGGCGTTGGTCGTGTCTAGAGACCATTTTAAAAGAAATTATTATTGAATTCTAAAGTGTGTTTGGGCAATCTGTCCAAATTATAGGAGTAAACAACCAATTCCAATCACGTATTTTTTTTTTATTACTTAAACGAAAACAAAAGGCACAATTTTTACCTATATCTAATTGTGCATTTTGTGTTTTATTTTTGTATCTCACGTTTTAACAGAATGCTATTTTAAAGGTTGAACCGTTACTGTAAAAATACAAAAAACATTTGAAACTGATGTACATAGTATAAACTCGTATAAATGTGCTTACAATACAGCTAACTGTAAAGTCATTATAACTTCTCGTCAGTCAGGACGCACTATGGCCACACTTTGTTGTTTAAACAGGGTTTGAAGATGGCAGGACTTGGATTGGGCATAGAGGTCCATATTAAGGAGATTCCTGTCAGTTATGCAAAATCCCAACAAGTCATTGATGATATCTGGCAGACAATGACTCCAAAGGTAACTTTAAACAGGTAAACTAATATATACACACAGACCAGCTGCCGAGGAGGAACACTTCATCACAGAGGAGAGATTACAAGATGCTTTGTTAAATATTCTGAGATTATGTGTTTTAACACTGAAGGTATTTTGATACAAAAAGAGTGATAGAGACTTTTTCTCTTTGTGATGGGCAGGTTGTTATCCATTTGGGCATAGCTCCAGGAGCCAAAGGCATCACACTGGAGCAAACAGGGAAGAACCACTGCTACAAAGACAGGGATGTGAGTGGTCTGTGCCCTGATCGTCACTGCTGCATTGAGGGAGGACCAGAACGACTGGACTCCATCATAGACATGAGGTCTCTTAGCAAGCATTTAAAAAGTATGGGGCTTGATGTCATCTACTCTAGGGACGCTGGGAGGTAATGAGACTAACATCGAAAATATTGTCTGTAAAGAATAATTGTGTTAAAGTCTTGTACAATTAATTCAACAAAGTATTAAGTGTGCTACTTTTATTTGTGAATACTGTTGTGGAGTTAACAAATGTTGAAATGGCATGTATACACTAACAGTAAGTTTACAACTTGCAGGTACCTGTGTGATTTTGTATACTATTATTCGCTGTACCGTGGGCAGGGAAAGGCTGCGCTGATCCATGTGCCAGCGTCAGGCAGCCTGGCAAGCCCAGAGAGACTGGTACCACAACTCCAGACCGTCATCCAGGCTGTGTTACGCCAGCTGGACCGCCCTGCACACACAACCTCAGGACAGGTAGAAAACAATAAAGAAAACATCCTCCACAAAACATAATCCCATCACCGATTACATGGCGGAAATGCAATAAGTGACACTCGACACAGGCGTTCAGACTCGTTCATTTTTTAATTCAAAATTTAAGAAAAAAAGAAAATACATGAAAATTCTTCAGATATACATTAAGCCAATGGCATGTAAAACGTCTACCATCTCAACTGGTGGTGAGGAGAAAACTGAAAAACAGGAGGCCTTAGATACATAACTTACAAGAAGACGAGAGTACCAGCCAAGCCGTTTCACCATCAGTTTCTACCAAGCAATGCAGGGACACAGAGATTTTTATTTTTCCTAATTTTTCGTTTCTTTTTTTGTGAAAGGAAAATAAAAAGTGTTATTAAACTCTTTTCAGTACAGTAGATCAAGGCCCCTTTTGAAATTTGTCGGAATGCCAAGCAAAAACAACAGTGCCTGGGAAATGATGTCTGAAACCTCAAGCTCATTATTGCAATTAAAATGCATACATGCATCTTTTCTAAACCTGAGGTTATGCCTTATGAAGAAATAGAATAAAGTAATAATAGTTCTTATGATAGTTGGGGAAAAAAATCTTTCAGTCAATCTACCTTCAGGTTTGCAGAAAACTTGCATTGCAACATAAGCTATTTCTACTGTAAACTTGTCTCTTTTTATTTTAAATTCTAGTCATGTTCTCTCTCTCTGTGTCATGACTACCCGTAATCTACTGGACATCGCTGTCCTATTTGTGTCTGTGTATATGTGTGTTTCTGTAGATCTGTAACCTACTGGTAACTAAGGAACCTTGGCAGCATTCAATGAAAACTGACATTCACTTTGCAACAGGCCAATGCTTTTGTCCATATTCATTACAGAAAGAAAAAAAGAAACAAAAATAAATAGTGATATCTATTATTTTCCCATTATAAACACATCAAAATCTTAATCACTACATCTACATGTGATACACTCCCACCCATATACATACGCAACGATACAAGCACAAGGGCTTTTATAGAATGGTTATTTCGATCATCTTGTTGTACCACACAGAATAATATTCTTTTCAAACAATGTGCCTCTCAGCAACCCGACCAGGTCTTTTCCTGCAAGCGCCCTTGTTTCCAACCCCTGGAGTTCAAAAGATCCAAAATATTAAAGTCAAAGAACATTTTTAAGTGCCATGAAACAGAAGGACCAGGGGCAGTAAGACCGTGACTTTCTCGGAATCCACTTTGCATTTTAATTGTCTGACCCATTGTGTTTTTTTAATGGTTATTTAGAGAGAAAGCATGTTGCTGAGATCCACCGCCTACCCAATGCTATTGGAAAGACTATTTGTAGTCTCTGTAAAGCAGCATGTTGTCAGCAGCAGTAGAAAAGAGAGGCAAAACGACAGCCCTTTCTCTCTCTAGAGAATGATGTCGATGAACACGATGACAACAATTGGCCCTTTCTATATACTCACTAGACACGTGGAGTGCATCTGACCAAACAAATCAGCTGGAATGTTTTTCCAGGTAGGTTTATGAGAAGGGAAAAAAATCCACTGGTTTGTTGTAAGAAAGTGTTACAAAATCCACATTATGCATTCAACTGTTAGATGCTTTGGCCAAAAGGTTAAAAAAAATTATCTGATTGTAAAAAAAACAGTGGTATTTATAAACTAGGTGAAGTTATCGGTGTGCATTAAAGTCACCTTCAATTATAGGCTACTGAAAAAAGTAGGAGACCCAACATTTTTGTGCAGAAGCACAGTGTGTCTGAGAAGGGCATGCTGGGAAACAGGATGTCCAGTGCCATGATCTCTGTCGATGCTGCAGATGAGTTACTAAATAAGATCATGTAAGCTAATGAAATTTAATGGGGAAAAAAATCATGTAGTTTTTCTTGTTGGCTTAACTGTGATGTAATGTTAATTACATGAATTACACTTCATGTGACTTTTCTTGCTGCAACTGTTTTGATTTGTCAGCATTTGCATTCTTGACTTGCTCTCCTAAACCTTTACGAACAGTTTAATCTATTAGATGGTGGATAAGGAGAGATCACTGAAAAAGAATATTAAATACAGAGGAAAAACACTGACAGCAACTATGTTTTATCTGTGGTCCATCATGTTGAAACCATCTGGTGAATTAGGCATTTTAATATGATTATTTAAAAAGTACTGCAGCTTGATTGAAAGCAGTGGGATTTTTGTGTTGCTGGGCATGTGATAAGAGATGCAAGCGACACGCCATTATGAATCTCATAGGCATGTAAGCTCACACCATGACGTCCTCTCTCTCCATTCCTGGGAGTTTGTGCTTTGTGGTGCTTAAAGAGTTTTTTTTTTTTTTAAATCAGAGACAAGACAGAGGATAATAATGTGTCCTCCACAGAAAAAAAGTGAGATGTATTTTATAATTTCATCACGTACACATTTAAAATAAAAGAGAATGAGGTAGATAGATGCTGAAGGAAATGAAAAAAGAAAGTCCCCCAGTCATGACATCATGCATGTAGAATTCAGACTTTATACTAAATCTTAAGGGCATTTGTACAGTGATTTCAACTGGTATCACCAAAAAAAAAAGAAAGAAAAGAAATAAATACCCCTTCAAAGGGGGGAAATAACCTTCTAAGACAGGATAAATAAGTCCTGGGTAACATTCCCAAATGCACATGGAGAAATCCTTCAAAATGAAACTTTTTAAAGCCAACTGGCCAGGAAACCTACAGTTTTATTTAGCATTCTTTGAGCAAACCGATCACTTTTCTGAATTTGAACCCATTCTTATTTGTTTGGTTACAGATGGCGTATTTCATCAGGAAGGTTAGTGCTCGTTGCATGGATTTATAAAGTCGACGTGGGTTGTGCGTGACACTAAAGCAGATTATGAACGTATTTTGTTTGGAGGCATTACAGGCTGGTTGGGGTATGCGAGACAAATTAAGACAACCCAATTAGCCCTGTTAGTTGCTATTCAGTTACATGGATGGGTTCTAAAAATTGTCTATGAGGGTAAAGAAACGTCAATGAAACCTTCTATGACGATGCCTGGCAGGAGGCATGAGCACAGACACTGAGATACTGTACAGTTTACTACACTGTAAGGAGAGGCCAGCAACCTAAAAAAGCAGAGGAGGAATCAACTATGATGCGTATGTCTGGAGAACAAAACCATAACATTAACCTGAGATTGAGCTGCACCACATGAGCAGGTGCAATGGTAGACAACTGTATCAAGGAAGCCTAAAGTTCACATGCAGAGCTAAAGAGTTTGTAGTAACTAATAATAATAATATAGTTAGAAAACACAAGGCAATGGACATGTGGCAATGCAGACAACCTCTTAGGGAGAAAAAAACAAACAAATAAATTGCTATTTTTTTTGTATGTTTTTTTACCCACAAAAGAAAAAAATAGCAGCTTCTTTCTGTATAGACAAAGAGGTGAACATCAGAACTGTAAAAAAGTTATCAAAAGTGACTCAAACCAATGATCTGTGTAAATGATCTTGTGGTCTAACATAGAACTGTAAGACCCTTCTTAGAATCATATGAATTGTACAGACTAATGACTAGTCTAAAAAAAAAAAAACCTGCTGTGTACAATGCCTCAGTCATCTCACAAAACAGATGTCGAAACAGATGAAGCCCCTGTATTCAGTTTGCTTCACGATCAAGCCGATCCCTTATAATTCATACCCGCCTCTCCGCAGCACGCCAATCTCTTCACCTTCGCGATTAGTGACGCGCTCTTTTCTTTCGACTTGAGACATCGCTCTCACAGAGGCTCAGCTCATAAAAGGGGGAAAGGGGAAGGATTTACAAACTCAAGCTGATTGTAAAAGATGAGGTGTGAGAAAGACCTCATAAAAGACAGTATGAGAGTTTAGTCCCTTGATTGCACTACTTCAAAGTGCAACCTCGAAAATCAGCTGTGGATAGGGGGTTATGTAATGATAAATGATTTTTTTTTTTTCAAGAAAGAAGAACATTTGATTTGGCAAAAAATTTGGCAGTTTCAAAAAAGCCCACCTCACTCTCTAACAAACCCCCTCGAAATGGTTTAAGTAGAAAGGTGGATCAACCAGTAACGTGACCAATCACTGATTGAGAATAAGCGATTGCAGCTGAGAAAGTTTCTGCGGCATCTTCAAAGAGAAATGTGATGACAAAGACGGTTTTAAAGGAAGAAAAATACTTGCTCTGAGGAGGGGAATGTGTATTTTTGTCTAAAAAAAAAACACTCGTATACACCTGGGAAGTGTTCACGGGCTGGGCTTGCTGGCTAATATGCGTGCCTCTTTTGTTTCTGGCAGGTTTTCTTCCTTTAGAAAACATTAAAACAGTTTTTTTCCCCACACAAATGAAAGCCAGGGCTCTCCAGTGTGGTGGTTTGTTCTGAAATCTTAAATATTGCAAATATTGAGTTTTTTTTGTAGGCTTGTAGTCACCAATCGCCCGAAACATCCTCTGTCATTCGAAATCATTTGAACAAAATGATCCTCAGATTTCCAGAAAGGACACAGTCCATCTGGTTATCGACTCCACAGTCAGCCCTGGGTTTTGACTCCTCGAGAACGAAAGAAAAAACACATGTAGACAAAAGGGCGAGGGAAATGTGGGTACCCTGCGTGAGGAGTAGAGGGAGACTGAGCAGTCATGATCAGCAGGCCGATGACTGAGGCAGTGGCAGCGCTCGCTCGTTCTTCCTCCCTCCGTTCATGTGTGCATAGGGCTGTGTCTCATCAAACGCTGGCCCCAGCAGCAACACTGGCCCGTTTGCTGCTACCTGTCCTGAGTGCTTGTCTAAGACCAGGCCTGGAGAGGCTGAGGAGGAGGAGGAAGGTGGTGAGGTGGAGGGGGTCGGGGCGGACCCCATTGGCGTCCCTGGCCCCTGAGCTGGGGAGAGTGGCTGTGGACTCTGGGTCTGAGCACCTGTGCTCCCCTGAGAGGAGGGGGCCAACATGGAAGCAGGATCCAGTGGAACGTTCTCCATGTTCTGCACCTCCATGTCCAGTTCCTCAGTGTCGGGTGGCTTGTTCTCCTCACTGTAGAAAAAGCTAACTTCCCGGAAGGGCGGCTCCAGTTCCTCTTTTATGCTGTTGATGATCTCCAGAAAAGACGGTCGCATCTTAGGGTTGTACTGCCAGCACATCCGCATCAGTTCAAACCTGTAGACCAGATACAGAAATTACATTATATTTTCAATTGAATTTTACTCGATCTTAAGTCACATTGCTTGCTTTATCCAAAACTATTAAAAGACTTTATTGGATGTGATGCTATAAAATGACTTTGAACTGCAAAATAATGCACACTAAAAAACAGATGATTTACGAACAAACGTCTCTTATGAGCCAGTTCATTTGAGTAATCCAAATACATACAGCACCACCAGTGTAGTCTGATTTATGAACAAACGACTCTTTTGAGCCAGTTCTTTTTAGTGAATCAAAAACATACAGTATTTCCAGTGTATCTTAATAAGCCAGAAAAAAAGAGTAAAACTAACAAAAAACAGTTTACAGTATTTGAAATAAATCTGAAATAAAATAATAAAGTACTAAATGTAATAAAATACTAAAATATAAAAACAAACTGAAATAAAAATATAATTTTTTTTATGTTTATTTATAAATGAAAGTAATAAAATAATAAAAAGACAAAAACAATTACTAAAACTAAAGTTGAAATGAAAATTGAAAAAAGCTCATTCAAAATGATACAAGACATTATAACCCACATAAATCATAAGTATCAACACTTCAGCATTGTGGTGGTAACAGAAGTAAGCTCTTCCCTTTTTTCTTTTTTTTTTTTCAGAAAATGTACAAATCTCATTTTCATGAACAAATCTCATACTCATTGCACCACAGTGCAAACTAGCAATAATAATGTCTATAAAATCTCATAAACTCCGTGTTCAGACTAACAATCTCCACTCATCAACAGGTGGCAGTGTTCACTAGAGTTAGATCACACAGGAGTGTTGTGGAACAGACAACTTCTAGAACATTTTGTGGTCGTACACACTGAGAAGTGCACTACGCCAGAACTGCTATCCTAAACACTCCACAGACTCATCCTAAGTGAACAGCTGAGAACACATGAAAAGCAAAAGTGCCAAAACAACACAAAAAAACAACATAAAAAAAACAGTTTGGTGTAGTACTGTCCCACCACATCTTGGTAAAACACACAAACAAGCTAAGAATAGCGTCAGCACTCACTGGCACACTGAAATACATTTTAAGTGACCTCCAGCCACAGGTGCAGAGCGGGGTGCCGTAGCCACACAACACAGAGGCCTTCTCGCAAGGACATTCCACAGTATCGGGTCAAATAACTGACGGAAAGTGAAACTTTTCTGTTGTGTCAACTTCTGAGATGTTCTCTCATAATAAAGGCAAATTTTTTGGAACCCAGGCCTGGCGATCGCAAGTAACCTGCCTGTTTGGCATTTGTTGGATCACAAATTCATAGCCGAGGCCATCTGTCGTTACTCACTGAAGTGAATTCAAACCCAGTTAGAAAATGTGATAAATCTTGCCCGCTGTCTGCGCTCACTATTGCTTTTCCAAAACCCATTGAGCTACCTTCCTGTCTACTGCCTCTATGAACGGCTGCCTTCTAAGGCAGCATCCTAACTGAAATAAAACCTCACAAGTTACTGATTTGGAGCGCTCTATAAAGCCAGCAACTCCGCAAATAGCGTTCAGCACAAGAGACTCAACTCAAAATTGATTCCAAAAGAGTTTGATGTTAGCACGTTGCTAAGCTAACAGCAAACAAACTAAACAAATCTATTTATACATTTTTTTTTTCCACTGAGCATTTCTAATAAAATTTTACATTATTACTGTATTTTCAGATAAAACATGTCAAAAACATTTTTAAAATCATCCTCAACATATGAATGTTAGAGTCGGCATGACAAAAGCATGACTTTGATGTCTAGGTAGGGTGCTCACTAGGTTTTGGAAAAAAGCTACTGACAGTCAGGGACAATTATGGAACAAAATTGAAATGAATGACCTAATAACAGATTAATGATATACTATTTAAAAAGGAGCAAAACTGCTACAAATATGTCATTGTTGAACAGTTTTGAGATAAAAATGTCCAAATAGTGAGCACAACATTATGAGGAACGAACCCTTGCTTCGTTCAAGCAAGTGTTCAATGGATCTACAAACTGTTTCTGAATCTCTGCCCTTGTATTTCAGCCAAATATTACTTAAATTCTCATGATATCATAAAAATGTGAGCGACATCCCGACTTCATGATGTTTAGCTGAGTGTAATGATGAGATGCAGATGACAAAGTATGAGCGTCTTTATAGCGCTAGTGTAGCACAGCATATGTTCAATCCTCCTCTCTCGTGCAATAAGGACATCTCGTCGTAGCTGCCATGGAAACCGGGGGTTTGTGTTTCCATAACAGTTGAGACAAGAAAGAATGACTGAGGGAGAAGGGTCAGGAGAAACGGACGGATGGACCTCATGCCTCGCTACTGACATCAGCCCAGAAAAGGAGAACGGCAGACCGGATCAGTGACGCATGCAGACACGCTCCGAAGGAGATGTGAAGATGAGCATGAGAAGCTCTTAATAAAAAGTAGAGCAGCGTGGGTCACCGTTCCGGTCACCCCATGGGAACCACACATTCTCCCTTCTATGGACGGAGACTCCCTGACAACATGATGTCACCTGTCTCCTTTTAACCTGTGACGCAAATGTCACCAGCCGGGCTTTCGCTTGGCCTGACGTTAGCAGCAGCATCTGGTGACATACTATCAACATTTTAGCGTGATATCGCATCCCTAAATAGACAAGAGCCGGTTAGAGGACAAAGGGTTAACATTGTAAAGCAGAGTGCCAAATTTGGGAGCAAAGTGCAGTTGGTGGACTCACAGCATGTCGGGACAGTTGTCCGGTTTATCCAGAAGTCCTCCCTCCATGACGAAGCGCAGTACCTGTTCATTGGACATACCCTGGTAGGGCTGCTCTGCTAAAGTGGCGATCTCCCATAAAACCACGCCGAATGACCTGAAGAAAGAGGAACTGGTTAAAATAACTTTGCAGGAGCAACACAAAGGCACTTACTGTAAATCACGCTAAATGTCACAAAACCCATTTGTCCGATTACGTCAGCAGCCGTACACATCAAGTAACTCAATCCAGTCGGACGAGGACAAAGAGGAAAGGAATGAGGCCATTTAGGGTCAAGAGATGCACGAAGAGCCGCTTTGAGACAATTGCTGTCCTGCGGAGCGTCACTGAAAGGCTGCGGATGCATCAGTGTTTTTTTTTTTTTTCTAGCCTGGAACAACAAAATGCTCATTTTCAAAACAGCGCGAAAGTCGTGAACACCGCTGACCTGAACTTTTCTCTTTTAGTGTGGTGTTTTTGTTAGCCGTGTTCCTCATTAATGAAAATGAGTCCATATATTAGCCGGCGGCCGGTGAGAAAGTGCAGCAGCGGAGCAGAAAGTCGGCAAACCCCAAATAAAAACCACACAAAGAGCGCACTGTTGCCAGTCGTTATTCATTAGTTCTCGGAGGACAAATATTCGACATTGGCCGAGGATCTGAGACAAAGCTCAACACCCTTTAAAACAGGACTGTTACAACAGTGACTTGCATCTAATTGGCTGCAACATCTGCGTGTTGAAAGAAAAACCGCATTAGAGCAGGACTTTTTCAGGGGAAGGAAACAAACAAAGACACCTAACAGCGAGGTTTATGGGCGTACGAGATGGGAGCTCGCGGTGGCTCTTTTCATCTCGGGGACTTCAAAAGTGGCAGATACGGACGGAGGGACAGGGAGGCGGGTCTGCGCTGGCACATCAACCCCATCATTACCAAACATCTGGAGGAGGTTAGGAGCGCACCGAGAGACAGAGCTGTAGGACGCTGGAGATTGGGAAACTGCAGAATTGGAAGAGTCTGTCTATGGCACCGTGACTCTGTTCTACTGAATCGCCGCTGCTGGGACTAAAGCTGTGGAGAGACAGTCTGTCTGAGACAAAGAGACAATGTGTTTGGGCACGTTCCGCTTGGCTGGGACTGGAAGAATGTCTGGAAGTGATGCATATTCTCCCTTGACACAGGACATCAGTGGGGAAAAAAGATTAAAGGGTTTTCACCTCTTATAGGCCTATGAGGCTTCCTGTCGTATTAAGTAAAATAAAGAGACTGTTTCAATGCTTTCTGGACAGTTGGGGGCCTGTGGTGGAGAGGGGCTACTGAGTCTCTGATGGGACAGCCTGCTGCTCGAGTGGAAAAATCCCAGTTTTTCAGCAGTCAAAATTTGGACACCCTTAAATTAAACCTTTTTGATCCAAAAGCTTAATTATTTAAATTGGTTTAATAGACAAATAGATTACATTTTACTTGCATATGAATTTTCTTAAAATCTATTAACTAATTAATTTAATAAAATAATAAAAGTTTTTTTAAGAATAACTTGTTTGTTGTAATATTTTCTACATATTTATTTATTTTATGCAGGGTTTTATAAATGAATATATAAAACATTCCTTTATTTTATGAAAGGGGTTCCACAAAAGGTGAAATGGGGGACATTGACATCATTATGGCAAAAAAAAAAATTCTGATCTATACCAATGTGGTAAATTTATTTATTTTATGCCAATGTTTATGGCCACTACAGAATTCCGACACTTCCGTTTACATTAAAGTAAAGAAGTATGTACTCATTACAGTTCAAAAGTTTGGGGTTTCCACAAAAATATTAAACAGCATGTTTTCAACATTGATAATAAGAAGAAATATGAAAGAAGAAATGATCACCAAATCACCACATTAGAATTATTTCTGATATAATGTGACACTGAAGACTGAATGAATGACTGTGGAAAATTCAACAAATCTACTGTTTATTTGATCAAATAAATGCAGCCTTGACCATAAAAAACATGAAATTTTTTTTTTACAAATTTTTGACCGATAGGGTGTGTCCAAATGTTTGACCCGTATTGTACATGCCAGCCCGAATCAATCCACACACATACACAATGCAGTAAAACAACAAAGTCTTGCATTTATGTGTGTGTGAAAAAATGTCAGAGAGAACAGGCGGCTCATACCAGACATCAGAATTTGTTGTGAACACTCCATCTTTCAAAGACTCCGGGGACATCCAGCGCACTGGCAGCAGCCCTTTGCCTCCTTTGCGATAGTAATCAGTCTCGTAGATGTCCCTTGTCATGCCAAAGTCTAAACACATGAAGAGAGCAAACATGAAGGGTCACAGTCACACCTTTCAATCTATTGTTGTATCAAATAGATTCTTGAATATATGGATTTATGTGACGTGTATCACAGATTTACCTCCAATTTTAACTGTGAAGTCTTCAGCAACCATGCAATTTCTGGCAGCCAGGTCCCGATGGACAAACTTGTTGGCATTGAGGTATGCCATCCCGTCTGCTATCTCACTGGCCATCTGAATCATCTTCTTCAGCGGAGGCAAAGACTGGCTGCTAGAGCCCTGCTACATGGCAGAAAAAGAGCACAAAGGTTGCATTTAACACTTCTGCTTCTCTCTTTCTCTACTACAAACCCTTTCTGAACAGCTGTCTGAAATATAGAGTAGATTTAAAGAACTGTGAACATTAACTTAAAGGGGGCATGAGATGCTGGCCATAGATCTGAGCAGAAAAAATTAAGATAATAAGCGTAATTAAGTGTATTTTTAAACTAAAAAGCAGCAGAGATAAATTATGGGATAAAAACCAGAGCAGACGGGATTGTTTCTGTACCTCTTTGGAACGGAGGGAACGCAAGTAGCTCTTCAGATCTCCCCGTGTCATCAGCTCCATTATAACTAGAGTGGGCTGTCCTTGTGAAACCACACCCAAAAGTCGCACCTAAAAATGAAATTACACTGTGACACTATGAAAACACAGAGAAACCGGTGTCTGCACAAACTATTTGAAAAGCATCGTTTTGCCATTTGTTTGGTGCTGCCAGGAATTATACACTTTCATAAGTATCTTTAAGAATTTCAATGTACGAATTGTTGGCAAAACCAAATGCTGGATGAGATTTTTCCCTTGTTCTTACCACATGGTGACAGTTGAACTCCTTCATAACTGAAGCTTCGTTCAAGAACTCAATGCGTTCACGCATACTGGCGGATTCATTTACAGTCTTGATGGCCACTCTGGTCTCAGGTTCATCTTTGACGACGCCCTTTGCGATGCCCTCATACACCATACCAAAGGAGCCCTGACCCAGCTCACGACACATGGTGATTTTCTCCCGAGCCACTTCCCATTCATCTGGTACATACACTGAGCACATTTGAACAGGCAGTGCAGAGTTACATACATGACAGTAGCAATGAAAAAAAATTAAATAATAATTCAATATTTTTTTAAACATCAAAACATTGTTAAAATGTATATAAAATAGTGCTGTCAAACGATTAATCGCGATTAATTGCATCTAAAATAAAAGTTTTTGTATACATAATATATGTGTGTGTACTGTGTATATTTATTATGTATATATAAATACACACACATACATGTACATATTTAAGAAAAATATGTTAAGTTTATACATTAAAAATATTTATCTATAATATCAATTATATGAATATAAACATATACATGGAAATATTTTCAAAATATATACTATATGCATGTGTATTTACATAATAAATATACACAGTATACACACATATATTATGTAAACAAAAACTTTTATTTTGGATGCGATTAATCGCGATTAATCGTTTGACAGCACTAATATAAAACAAATAATATATCGTGAAATATTTGTTCAATTTTTATTTTGTTTTTATTCTTCTTTTTCTTACCTTATTGGAAAACGTTTTTTTTTTCTTTCTTTTTTTTTTTCTTTTAAACAAACCATACCAGAAAACTGCTAAAATACTTAAAAAAATCAGTTAAAAAAAGTTGAGATAATACTCACTTTCAAAGGGACTGAAGTATTCAGGGTTTACAGAAGCATATAGCACACCATTTCCTAACCTGTCACTATTCCTGAAAGGAAACACATAAAAACACAATGAAAAACAGTACTGGACACTGGAAATTAAAATGTCTATTTTTTACTAGATGGGACATCAACCTCTTTTTGGTGACAAAGATGACAACGGAGATCATTGCAGCGAGCAAGACTAGCACTATAATAGGAATGATGATGGCCAGTAAGATGGCATTATCATAATTTCCTGTAAGAAAGAAGGACATTTGTACGGAATTAAGAACTAAATATGACATTAGACTGAAACAGGCCTCTCTACATTTCCATTAAATAAGCTATTTTAAAGTTATCAGTACCTCCTAAAAATAAAATAATTGGTTTCTTATGGGCATTCTTACTTTTAGGAGGTGGCACATAGAAGGACACTGGTTCAGTCCACGACCCGTTCCCAGCCAGAGATGTGGCTCTGACCCGGGCAGAATAATTTCCAGAGGGCAAATTGCTTAGCTGAGCACCTCGCAGCACTCTGTACTGCTGCCATGATACACACTCTTGCTTCTCGGGCTGTAACACACACACACACACACATACACAGTCGGTTTGTGGCATTGGCTGCAGTTTTAACTATTTCTTAATGGTGTATGAGTTAGTTGTCACACTAACCTCAGTTCCCAGACGATATTTGATCTCATACATGAGGATCAGTCCATTAGGGTGATGAGGTTCAGGCCACCGCAGCAGCACTGTTCCTTCTCCCTTCTCATCCCTCTCCTGAGTTACAGTGCCGGGAATATCATCCGCTTTGTCTGGGGAAGAACATAACTGTGCTTAAGGCCAGTGCTTTCTTACAGTAATTCAATAAGATTTCAATTGCATTATGGTTTTAATTGCTGTTAACATGACCAGGATAGCAAACGAAAAAAAATCATGCTGTAGGCACAGTGGAAAATTACTGGAATTTTAATATTTCGCTGGCATGGATATGTAGTCACTTGTGCATGAGTTTGGTTTGTTGGTTTTGCTGACCTGCTGGTTTGGTTCTAGAGAATACAAAAGCTGCGGCACTGCAACGGTGGATCTCGTAGTTACAGGCGTGGATGTCGATGCGGTACACGGTGAAGGGCTGCAGGTTGGATATCTCCATGAACTCTGTAAAGACTTTGTCCTCGGAGAAAGGGTACTCTTTCTCATGCAGCTTTGGGTCAGTGATGTTACTCTCCATTCCTGTGATGTTCCTGCTTGCACCTTGCAGCAGTGTGCCATTGGCCACTCCAAACAGGTCTCGCCGCTTCCTGTCTGGAGGTCTGAGAACATGAAAAAAAAAGTTAAATAGGAAGAGGAAAGGGGGGAAAATGACAGGAAAGAGAAATGGAAAGTACAGAGAAAATCAAATGACAGGAAATGGAAAATATTGGTAAAAGAAAAAGGAAAGAGAATGGGAAATAAGGAAAGGACAGGAAAAGAAAATAGTAAAATAACAGTGATAAAGAAAAGGAGAAGGAAAGAGGAAAGGAAAAGGAAACAGAGTATTAAATGACCGTAAGAAAAGAAAGGAAAGGGAAAATCAAATGAAAGGGAATGGAAAATGATAGGAAACAGAAGGAAGGACATGGGAGAAGGAAATTAAACTGTGGAAATGAAAATGAGTACAAAAAAGTGGAAAAGGAAGTAGTAAATGAGAAAGTAAATAAAATGGGAAAAGGAAACAGGAGAATGGAAAAGGAAAGGAAATGGAACCAGAAAAAGGAAAGGAATTAGTAAACGACAGTAAAAAGGAAAGGAAGCAGAAAAGGAAAGGGGAAAAAGACAGGAGTAGTAAATGACAATAAGAAAGGAAAGAGGAAAAGGAAGGAAGTAAATGACAATAAGAAAGAAAAGGAAACAGAAGAGGGAAAGAGGAAAGGGAAGGAAGTAGTAAATTACAATAAGAAAGGAAAAGAAAGGGAAAGAGGAAAAGGAAGGAAGTAGTAAATGACAACAAGAAAGGAAAGGAAACAGAAAAGGGAATGAGGAAAGAGGAAAAGAAACGGAAGTAGTAAATGACAGCAAAAAAAAAAAAGTAAGAAAAGGAAATGAAGGTAAAAAGAAAAAAAGAGGTAAAGGAAATGAAGTAGTAAACGACAGCAAGAGATCATAGAAAGATGCAGTCAGCCAGTGTCAGCAGAGTCTGCACTGGTTTAAAAGCATACAAGCCAATTACTGCGCACAATTACTCTACAACACACACCACTTCCTTTAACGTGCAAGTCTAATTCTCTAATGTCCTACTAACAGGTCTCTTAGTAACACTGAGGATACTTGCATTACTCTACAACCTACAGAGCTCCTTTTTCTCTTCTGGATCTTATTAATCATTTAGCATCCTGAATGATGAGATCTTTTAAATTCTTATGAGTGTTATACATCCAGCAGGGCTGGGACTGATCGCTCATAGAAAATTGCTAGTTTTTTAAATAAATTATAAATGGTATCCAAGAACTATCTACCCTGACCCGTGCGTCTCATTCTGACTCTTCTTTCTGTCCAGGTACTGTATAAAACCATTGTGTATTCATGAAACATTTATCATTGCTTACTATAAAATATACTTGCAAATGAAGCAATACACATACAACAAAAATTTCTGCAGATGAGAAAATTAAAAAATTTGGAACAAATATCGAACATCCATAATAATGATATGACCAACTCTGCCTCTGACGGTAGAGACAGTGCATGAGGCGATAAGCAAACTAAGGCGCTGGCATCAGGTCAACCCTGCCGCCACTGAAGACATGCAAGTCAGCAGCAACCACAAGAGCTTACCAGATGCCAACGGACCCACTGCCACTTCACATATATGACTAGGGCAGGGTCACAGCCTTACCTAGAGCCACTTTTAGGAGACACGTAACGATTTGCTCGCTCAGGATCGCTGTAAAAATTCAATAGTCAGACCAAACAATATCATCCACCGCAGATGGGAAAGACAGGATGGTTTGAGATGAACATGGGGGAAACCCCAGTGTGCCAAACAAATACAAGAGAGGAAAGTGATATTACCAGACACAAAGACTGACAGACAATAAGTGGAGACAGACAATACAAGTTTTCAGCTTTGTCAAAAACAGTTTGGGAATTATAACTAGTTATAGATTGATGTATTGAACACATAACATCTGATAACTGTGGCTTCTTGGCTGATTACCAGATTCCTTTTTTTGTCAGTTTCAAAATATATAGCTGATCGCATACATACCAAAAAAAAAAAAACATTTAAATAACTGTTCAAAAATATTACTATATTAAATATATTACTATAAACCTGAAATGTTATTAAATCCTGTTGTATGAGCAAACGTGAAGTGTTTTGCTCTAGAGACGCAATAGCAGGTATTTTTCCAGACTGACATAGCAACACAGGCAGAAAGGCTTGTTTGAATGTCCTATTTAACAGCCTTCAAGAAGTAGATTTACAAGCAATTACGAACTTTAACCACTGATGATTATGAAAGTTTAAACTTTACTATAAGCCTTATTCTGCCAGCTCAAATTAATCAACCGAGAAATGACAGTAATGGGAGAAGATCTTTGTGTGTTTGCTTTTGTATATGTCTGCGAGTGGAAACTTTTAATAAAAGCCAACGTAGAATGCTGTAGGGAGGAACAATCAAATCAACTCTAACCACATTCCATGTCACTTCCATTGAACGGCGCTCCATGATTTATGAGTGGGGATTTTGGAAGCAACTGGACACTATTTAACACTTACTAACTAGGGATTCAGATCCCCTTGAGGGTATTTACTGTGGAAGATCAAATCATATTGTCACTTGAGCATCACATCAACACCTCTACTCATCAAGCACAAAGAAAACCCATGAAGTACTACATTCATACTACTGTATTAAATCCTTTTTTGGAACCTTTAACTCAGACTCAAATACGGTCAGGATCTGCCTTATGTCTACAGCCATAAACATTGATCTTAACCTAAATGCTTCTGGCACTGACTGCTGACTAGGAAAAGGTCAGGCTTGCATCAAGAACTTGGACGCACAGGGTCCTGAAGGAAGATTTTACACCTGCAAACCTCAGAAGAAAGGCCTAACAGCAGGTGTTGACAACACTGACAGCAGCACATCCAGTCTTCCTTTTCCCAGGCAGGAAGACTTACGTGACATTGATGCATAGGCAACACCTCACTCACGTCCCCAGAAAGTCAAGTCTTCGCTCAGGAATGACTCGGACTCCCATTACAGGGCCCAAAAAGCTGATCAGCTGTGTGGGAGTTTGAAAGAGAAGACAGCGCATCCACACCTCCTCTCGAAAGGGATCTTACTTTGGAATTCATTAACATTCCACATAGGTTTGCTGTACATTTCCTGGGAGCCGGACACTCCAAAGCAAACAAAGAACGCATCTGAGGAAGGAGGGAGAGCGAGAGCGGGCGAGAGGAAGAGAAAGGGGAGACGACCGTTGAATGGAAAAACATATCCGCTACATTCAAGCCTTTAGCATCTCCAGTTTTTCTCAGACTCGAACGGTTATGTCTCAAACATCGATAATGAGGTCTACTCAGTGGGGACAGAGACGGGCAAATCTGTCACCCTAACTTCCAAACGCAGCGAGGGGGCTGGGGTTGTTGGGTCAAGATGGAAATAAGTCATCAGTGATGGAGAAAAGGGCTTCCTGAGCATCCTGCTACTAAGGGAAAGCATATTTACATTTAGAAAGTCTGTTTTCCATCGATTAGAGATGGAGAGACGTGTGCATCACGTTGTCCCTGAGTGAACCGCAAACCATTACCTTGATGAAAATGGGGCTCCAAAAGCAGAAGTTTGGGAAAGCTAAGTGGTAGAAGATGTTTGGCGACATCGATTTGTGCATCAATACTCATGACTCAAAACCCCGGCCCACCCCAAAACGCACACACACTCGCAACCAAATAAACAACCCACAAAAAAGCCTGATTGCAGATGTCCTGAACGAACCCTCGGAAAGTCTAGAAGCATGTGTGTCTGAGTAAACCTGAACCGGTTCCTGTGTGCCATTCTTCTCCCACATGAGACGAGAAAACATCCGATGCCACAAGCAAGGTAAACGGATAACACAATGCAGACGTCACTCCTCATTTCGGCAAACAAAAGCCTAACATGGAGCGAGCCCTCAGCCCGCGGCTGCTTTCCAGTCTCATTAATCCAGTCGGTGTCTGTTTGTGCATCCCAAATTACAGCCTGCTGAAGTCGTAATATGCAACCGCCACCGTCGCCCCAGCAACAAACATCGTGGCCGCACAGGCCTGGAGTTCGTACCTTCCCCCTGCGCCATCTGATTCCGCTCCAGCCTCCGCTGCTGGCACCTACCCCTTTCCAAAACCTCATGTTCTGATCTTGTCAGTCCCATGTCGAAATAATTAGGCCTCGGTCTGGACCTCCAAAATTCTGGTTTTGATTCTATGAAATCAAGCCGCCTCAAGACTATGAGCTCAGACCCACTTTGATAATCGCTCTCCAGGAAGACTGAAGAAATTAAGGTCTTCAGACCACTGTTGTAAACTGTGGCAGAAAGTGCTGGGAGTATCCCAGTCTCTGTTCCTGCCGAGGGTCCACCTAACCTTTCCAGTACGCTAGAGAGGTAGTTTTCCATCAGGACCTAGAATTCACATTGGGCATCAACTGGCAAGCCAACGTTGTACCAAAATGGTTTGTCATACCAAAGTCGACAAAAAATGTATTGAAAGAAGAATTCTGAGTTTAATACAAGTTCAAATGACATCACTTGTGCTAATGTGTTACCAAAAAAATTAATTAAACTCTTAATTTCTTGTGAACGTTGCATCTGAGCAGGGGATCGCAGGGTCCTGCAGAGGACTGTAATCCACCATGGCTCTCACATATAGCTAATGGGAGACAAGAGACAAACAATCAAAGGGATAGTTCACCCAAAAATTTAAATTCTGTAATTAATTACTCACCTGCATGTCATTCCAAACCGTAAGGCCTTCATTCATCTTCGGAACACAAATTAAATTTTGTTTTTTGATGAAATCCGAAAGCTTTCTGACCCTGCATAGATAGCAACGCAACTTAAAAATTCAAGGCCCAGAAAGGTAGTAATGGCATTGTTAAAATAGTCCATGTAACATTGCATCGAAGACTGACACGGAAGAGAAGAAATTGTTGAATAAAGTCCCTATTTGTGTTTCCTTTGTGCACAAAATGTATTATCGTAGCTTCATAAAATTAAGGTTGAACCACTGATGTCACATGCAGGGGCGCCGCTAGCAATTTTGGGCCCTATGAAAGAATATGAGGTTGGGCCC